TCTTAATTCTTTTATTTATTATAATTCAACTAGAGTTAGAATAAGAGGGAAGGATAACAACTTTAATTTATCTATTTAACTAGGTAAATATTATAAGAATATTAAATTATAGATTAAAATAAAGAATAAATAAGTAGCTGAATATATATATAATAGATAATTGAATTAAATTAATCTTTAAAGTAAAGTAATTGAGAATTAAATCAAATCAATATAAGCAACTGAATATAATTGAGGTCAGAATGAATTAAGCATTATAGTATAGCAGAGTAAATCAACCTCTAAAGTATAGTAGTAAAGCAGATCATTCTTCTTTAATATACAAGTAGCTATATTATAATATTATTTTCTAATTTAAAATAGTTCTTGCTCTCAAACAGTTATATTAAAAGCAAAAAATAACTAAAATAAATATTTATTAAGCTAATCAGTAGACTAATTACTTTAATTATCATTGATTAAATTCTTATAAATTTTCTTTCATATCTTATTAATATTAAATTCACTATCAAATTTTTATCTATAAGCTAAAATTCATTTGATAATTTAACAGTAATAGAATTTAGAAGAATGTAGATAAAAGTAGCAATCTTTAACTCAATAATCATTAGATTTATAATGAATGTAATAGTCTTCTTGATAGAATTTGTCTTATTGAGAGAGTGAAATTGACAAAATATATAATAAAAAATTATTTAAAAAATTAAAAATATTAAGTTGAATTTGATTTAAATTTATAGTATTATGATAATCAAAATAATTAAAGTTATTAGAGTAAGTATATAATATGAATAAATATAAAGAACTGAAAAGTTATTTACTAAATAATATATATATATTATTATAGATTTAAAAGAATTTTACCTACTAAGCTAGATGATTTTGAATTAACATATTGAGATTTTGATAAAATTAAGATATTTTTAAAGAATTTGACTATTTTTAAGCTTTAATTTCATAGAAAATTTATTCAAACTTAATAATATAGATTGTAAAAAATTTATCTGATCTTTGTTTTAAACTATATAATTTATCTTTTACCTCAAATATATTATTTAAATTATTATATATATGAGAGAGCTAATTGAAAATTAAGTTATAGTCTTAATTTTCTATATCTTCAGCTTGAGCTAGTTGAAGGAGAATCAAAGTTTATAATTAAATCTAGATTAAAGTAAATATAATAGAACTGAGTAATTGAATTTTCAATAGCAGCTTAATTATCATATAGTTTGACTTTGATTGAGAGAGGCCAAGTGTTATATTTCAGAAATTGACTAGTGAACTTTCCAGAGTTTGACATAGACAACTTTAGACAACATTATGATCTGTTTAAAGTAGTTTATAAAGATTGACATTAAGCTTATAACTGTTAATTTTAACTATGAAGCTCTTGAATAGCATTTTCAAATTTATGATAAAGAGCAGCAAGAGAAGCTTCTATAATAAATATTAGAATAATAAAAAAGAATAAAAATTTAATAAAAGTTTTAAATATTTAGTATAATTTTAACTACTAACAGGCTCAATCAAATACAGGTATAAATATAGATATAGATATAGATATAGATATAGATATGAACATAGACATAATACCTGCCTATTTAATCTGTAGAGATTATAAAAAAGAGGAGTTTAATATTATATCATAGCTCAACCAGAGTTAGAATGATAATAATATAATAGTTTCAATTCATTTATTTAACTAGGCAACTACAATAAGAATACTAAACTGTGAATTAGAATAAAGAATAAACAAGCAGTTGAATATATAAAAATGATTGAGAATCAGATTGAATCAACATGAGCAACTGAATATAATTGAAGTTAGAATAAATCAAGTATTATAGTATAGCATGGCGGATCAACCTTTAGAGTATAGCGGAGTGAATTAACCTTTTTTCATATACAAGCAGCTGTACTGTAATATTATTCATCTTTGCCATATACTTTTCAACTCATTACCAGCAGCTTGAAAGCTAAGCTTACTTCAATAGCTCAACTTACTTAATAACTTAGCTCAATTTGATAGTTTAACTTACTCTGATAACTCAGTTCACTCAATAGCTCAGCTCACTTTTATTATTCAACTCATTATAATTCTATTAAATTCAACTTAATATTGTTAATCTTTTTTTTTAATTTTTTACTATATATTTTATTAAAATAACTATTATATATATTATAAATCTCATAATTATTGAATTAAAAACTATTATTTTTATCTATATTTTTCTAAACTCTATTACTGTTAAATAAATCTTATCCTTTAAGTAAAAATATAATAATGAATTTAATATTAGTAAAATATAAGAGAAAATCTATAAAAATATAATAAATAATAATCAAAGCAATTAATTTACTGATAAATTTGACGAATTTTCTTTTACTTTTTTTTAATTTATAATATAGATATTTAAAATAAGTATTTTTTTAAACTTAGAATAAATATTATAGTATAGCTATTTATATATAAATTAAAAATGATTTATCTCACTATATTCTAAAAATTAATCTATTTTAATTCTCAATTATCTTTATTTCAAATATATTAACTTTTTTTTTATTTTTTAATCTTCTATATATATTTAGCTATTTATTCACTTCATATTATAATTATTAGTTTAATATTCTTTTTACAGCTATCTAGTTAGATAAATAAATTAATGTAATTATATTATTATTATTTTAACTCTACTTAAGTTATAATAATTGAATTAAAAATTATTTTTTTATTTATATTTTTTTAGTTTACATCACTGCTATCAAACTGTTAAATGAACTTCAGCTTTTAGATAAATATTTAATGATAAATCTAATATTAGTAAAATATCATAATCAATATAATTAGTCTACTGATAAGCTTGATATTTTTTTTTTTTTTTACTTTTTTCTTATATATAATATAGCTGCTATAAAGTATATACTTTTTTAATCAAAAATTAATATCACAGTGCAGCTGCTTATATACTCTATTATACTTTAAAGATTAATTTATTTCAATTTTTAATTATTTTTGTTTTAAAGATTAATATATTTTAATTTTCAATTATTTTTATTCTGAAGATTAATTTATTCTAGTTTTCAATTACATCTATATATTTAGCTACTTATTTTATTTCTTATTTTAATTTTTAGTTTAGTATTTTTATTGCAATTGTCTAGTTATATAGATTAATTAAAGTTATTTGTATTATTATCATTATAACTATAATTGAGTTATAATAAAAGTATATAAATTTAATAGAAAAATAGAGTAATTACTTGATTGATTTGCTTGAAATAATCTGCAATATATCACTTTTAATTAATTATATATAAATAGGTATTTCTTAACTTGTTCTTATAATACTAAAAAAATTAATTTATTTATTACTATTTAACAGATTATTTAGTGAATTCAGTCATTAAATTTCATATTATTTAAAATGTAGAAGTATTGTCATGACCTGCTAGATGATTTTTATGCTAAATAAATGTTTTTTTATAAGTTGATTAAATTTTTATTATATTTTAATATTATATTATATTTATAATCTACTTATTTTAATATTATTATATCAATATTGTTATACTAATTTTATATTTCAAATAGATTTTCTTATAATTTGGAAATTCTTTTAATGTTAAATCTTCAATTTCAAGCTGAATTGCAGCTCCATTGATCATGATGTTGAGGTTTAGAGTCGAAGAAATTGGGTGGAATTTACAAAATTGTTAAGTGGCGAAAATCGTTGAGTGGTCAGTCACGTTACCTGAATGAAAGGTTCGATAATTGAATGATTGGTTGACTTGTAACTATTACATTTTCAATCTGAAATTGATTGAACCCCTCTTGCAAGATTCTTCATGCCTAAGCGTATTCATTGCATATGAAAATAACAAGAGACTCTACCTTCCTCTCATATTTACTCCCTTTTGTTTAAAAAGAAAAAAATTCCAAGGAAAATTTAGTTCAGCAATGTTAACATCTTCTAGTGTCTTAACAAAGAAACAACCAAATGACGAGGAAGAGAAAACGACCGGTCGATTTCCCATTAGAGAAGCGGATAAAGTACGATAAACCTGGGGATGGATCAATCTACCATCCTGTGCTTTCACTTTACTATCCCCGGATAATGACGCTCAGAGATTATCTCCATGCCCAACTACCGGCGTCGTCCAAATCACGAAGGAGAAAAATAGCGTCCATCGGCTTGAACAACCAGCCCGGTACACGACATACAATGTTCTCCTTGACTCTCCCTCCCCGGTCACCAAGCTCTAGCATCCCGAGAACCCATGATGAAACTCAGATCATAGCTGATGTCCTGGACTCAACGTTTGTGTGCATTCTCAAAGAGTCTGATCGTGCTATCAACAACGCCAGACAAAAAGAGTTCGCTGCGTATATACAATCTCAAGTCCGCTCTTCACTAGAATATACTGATATCGGTGCTACCATATCTCAGTCGGATGTGAGTGTCTGCTTTTTTTCAAAAGAAACGGATTTAAGTTTTCTCTTCGGGTGTTGCCATCGAGCAACTCCCAGGTGTTGTGTTTGTTGATCTAAGCAGTTTGTCTCAGTGGTTATGATAAACAGCTACAGGCATTTGAAATATTTATAGAGAAACTGACAAAACAATACCATAACACGTTAGATCGTAGATTTCGCGATACTTAGTCTTTTTAAAAGATACCGTGGCTCTTTTTATAAACCACCACATCTGCTGTGTCATGGATTCCAGAGGACAACTAATCAATGTCGTCCAGACCACGATCATGATGCCATGGCGGCTATACCTGGAGTTGTTTCCCAATATCCCAATAAGAATGTTTCAACTTTGAAGAACTCCCCTTGGACTGATGTCTTTGGTCTGCTCGGACAAACCTGTGCTGAAGTTATGCTCCATTTACTCCTGGACTGCGCAGTATTTACTGAAGTAGACGGCAAAAATGGTAGCTTCTATCAATTAAGTGGTAAGGGATCATTTTCTAACTGTATTCTTTAATGGTATTTACTGATAGACTAATAATCATTTAGGAATACCATTATCTGAACTCAACGCTCTCGACTTGAAAAGTCGTAAAATGGCCAGAGGCGCAACTGATGTGGACACAGCGCCAGTCGAGGATAGTTTCCACAGCCCCGTAAATATTGTCTTCGTTAGAAGCAGGATGCTTTATGCGCGTGCTGCATTAGATGCTAAAGGAAGGGTAAGATTCGGTCTGAGGCATACTCGTATGTCCCTCCCTGCCCAAACAGATATCGGTGTGCGCGGCATATGCTAAAGGTAACCAGACGTTTTGAATAGATATCCAGAGAGCACCAACCGGGGTCATACGGTTCACATAATGAAGTACATTTTTCCTCGTCAATTTGGTTTGCATAACGTCTTCACGTCGTCAGTGGACCCGAAAGAAACCGCCCAGCGATTCAAAGACTATACCCTTCGCGAGGATGAGATAACACGTCATATATACCAACGACAGTGTAACACTATCTCTTCGGAAGTATGTACCCAAATACCTGAGAATGTCCCGAAACGTTTGCGTGGGGAACCCGTTGATCTTGTACAGAAGTTGCAAAAGCGTCATCAACAGTGCCCTTATGCAGAGCTCTTGCGCTATTACTGCCCCACTGAGGTAACGTTAAACCGTCTCTATTTGTCAAGATTGACAGTAATTGTTTGTTGACACAATGGGGCAATTTTTAGCAAATCCACTCACTCATTCTGGGGCCAATAAGTTCACCTGGTAGCTGGACCTCAGAAAAACTAGCAACACAGAGCACATGTATCCCAGGACCCCCTATATTGCCGCCTTCTGATGTGCAGCTATTGGAACAAACACAACATCTAGGGAGCAAACCAAGCAGCTCCACAAAGCTCAATGTGGCATTTAGCCAAGGTGGGAGCGCCCACAAACTTCTCATGACAGATTATGCAACTCCCACAGCTTCTGTGTCGGCATTTTGCCGGGCTGTGTTGCTAAAGCTTGTCCCGAATGAGCTGTACGGTGATGGGGAGAATGGGATTAAAAATAGAGATATTATCATGCGACATGTAGATAGCTTCGTAAGATTGCGCAGGTTCGAGAGTCTATCCTTGCACGAGGTCGTGCAGGGATTGAAGGTAAGTTAGTTCTTTCCAATGTGTCTTTCCCTTCATATGTGTCCGTGTTGGACACTATGACCCTACCCATGAGCAACAGGAGGTGGTATAAAACAACTTGTGGAAACATTGTCTAAGCGTAAAAATTCCACAAAATTAGATCACTTGTGTCAAATGGCTTCAACCCCCTTCCCGAAACGAAATCCACGAATCCTCGTCAGCTAAGCTTTCATCTTCAGATATCCGCAAACGTACGGAAATCTTTTTCGAAGTGGTCTACTACATCTTCGACTCCCTCCTCATACCACTGATTCGTTCTAATTTCTATGTCACGGAGTCGAGCATTCATCGTAATCGTTTGTTCTACTTTCGGCATGATATATGGCGAAGACTTGCAGAGCCGCCCATTCTCCAGCTTAAGCTGTCAATTTTTGAAGAAGTCAGGATAGAAAGTGCCGAGAAAATCCTTTCCGGACGCGATTTGGGGTACAGCTCTTTAAGGTTGCTGCCAAAATCATCTGGCGCACGACCGATTGTTAACCTGAGACGGAGACCGGTCAGGAAATGCGGGTGGGGAGGGTTGAGTGAGCTGGGTCCAAGCATCAATTCTCTCATGGCCCCAGCGTTTAATGTCCTAAATTATGAGAAAAGCAAACGCCTGGGAATGTTTGGGTCAACATTGTTCTCCATTGGCGACATCTACTCTCGCTTGAAGGCTTTCAAGGAACGCAAGGTGCCACACAATGTGGC